AGAGAAAAGAAACAAATCACATACAAAGGAAAGCCCATCAGAATCAAAGCAGACTTCTCAATGCAAACCCTTAAGGTAAGAAGAACTTGGAGTGATGTGTTTCAAGTCCTAAAGGAAAACAACCTCCAACCCAGATTGATGTACCCTGGAATACTATCTTTCAAAATTGATGGCGAAATAAGATACTTTCATGACAAAGAGCACCTTAGGAACTTCATGAATACCAAACCAGCACTCCAAAAATTTTATACAAAATCCTAGGAAAACACAATAAGGATCACAACCCCAGGAAGCCAAGGGGAATGAATCCGCTGGGCACAACAAGAAATTAAAAGCAAAGGAGGAGTATCAAACAAAAAGAAAAAGGCATGACAATGATAACTCAATACATATCAGTTATAACCATCAATGTAAATGCTCTCAACTCACCAATCAAAAGAAATGGACTGGCAGAATGGATGAAGAAGCAAGATCCACCAATATGCTGCATAAAAGAAACACACTTAATTCAAAAAGAAATTCATAGACTGAAAGTTAAAGGCGGGGAAACAATACTCCATGCAACAGGAACCCCCAAAAAAGCAGGAGTAGCTATTCTCTTTGCAAACCAAGTGGATTTCAAACCCACACTGATTAAGAGAGACAAAGAAGGACACTATATCCTTGTAAAGGAAACAATCCAAGAGGAAGAGATGACAATCATAAATATCTATGCACCAAACACTAGTGCACCCAACTATACAAAACAAATACTAACAGATATGAAAAACATATAAGCACTAATACAGTAGTAGTGCAGGACCTCAATACCTCATTGTCACAAATATAGATAGATCAACTGGACAAAAAACAAGCAATGAAATACTAGAACTCAATCAAACTCTTGAACATATGAACTTAACATATATTTACAGAGTGTTTCCCCCACAAAATCCAAACACATTCTTTTCAGCTGCACACAGGTCATTCTCCAAAATAGATGACATACTTGCTCATAGAACATACTTAGGTAAATGCAAAGGAATTGAAGTTATCCCCT